AACTGCACTAAAAGTGTAGTCCTCAATGAAACTACATCTATAGGGACGGAAATATGCGGTGAGGTACCCCAAGGTACTGTCCTAGTCCCAATACTCTTCAACCTCTTCATAAATGATTTAGATGAGGGGACAGAAGGGGAACTCATCAAATTTGCAGGTGACATCAAGCTGGTGGGAATAGCCAACACCTCAGAAGATAGGGTCAAGATCCAGAAGAATCTCAACAGAATAGAACACTGGACCCTATCTAACAAAATGAAATTCAAGGTGAGAAAAAATTAGGTTTTATACTTAGGTAAGAAAAACCAAATACACGGGTACAGAATAGGTGGTCCCTGGCTCAATAGCAGTAAATGGGAGAGGGATCTAGGAGTCCTAGTGGACAACCACTTAAATATGAGCCAGCAGTGTTGCAGCCACCAAAAAAGCCAATGCAGTCCTATGTTGCATTAACAGAGTGATAGAATCAAGATCATGTGAAGTGTTAGTATCACCTTGGTAAGACCACGATTAGAATATTGTGTCCATTTTTTGGTTACCATGATATAATAAAGATGTTGAGACTCTAGAAAAAGTGCAGAGAAGAGCAACAAAGATGATTTCGGGGCTGGAGGCTCAAACATATGAAGAATGGTTGAGAGAATTGGGTATGTCTAGTGAAAAGAAGAACTAAGGGTGATGTGATAGCAGTGTTCCAATATTTAATAAGCCATAAGGACGAGGGGATTAATCTATTCTCCAAAGAACCTGAAGGCAAGAAAAGAAGCACTGGATGGAAACTAATCAAGGAGAGAACCAATTTAGAATTAAGGAGAAATTTCCTGACAATAGGAACAATTAACTGAGTGGAACAGCTTGCCTCCAGACATTGTGGGTACTCCATTGCTGGAAATTTTTAAGAAGAGATTGGACATTCATTTGTCTGAAATGGTATAGAGTCTCCTGCTTGAACAGGAGGTTGGACTAGAAGCCCTCCAAAATCCCTTACAATTCTGTTATTCTGTTATTATATTATATTATGTTAATATAATCTGGGTGTTGATTGCTGGTGAGGAAACGTTAAGGTGTTTTTGTTCCCTTTTTGGCTTATTTATTGTCTCTTTTGCACAATATATAGACATTGTTTATGTCTATGTATCTATTGTTGGCCAAATTGTCAGAGTGCCAGGCTTCTGTTTTTGGACTTTGCTTGGTCTAGAATGGTCACAGTTTCCCAGTTGAAACTGTGGTTAAATCTGTACATATGTTTTGAAATTAAGCAGTTTTCATCATATCTTCTGACTACTAGTTGGTATTTATGGATGTGTTATACTAGTCCTCTGTCTGTTTGTCATATGTAGTGGCTGTTGCAATCTTAACCTGTATGTTGTAGAGGACTCCTGTTTTTACTTCTGGGGCTGCTGGGTCTTACGGTTTACTTAGGATGTTTTGGAGGCCTTTAGTTGGTTCATGTGCTACACTGATTTTAATAGTCTGTTGGTGGTTTCTGATATGTTTTTGATGTATTACAGTGTTAACTTTTTAACTGCTTGTGTTGGTTGTACTATATTGGATTGATTGATCAGGCACTTTTTGATGAAATTACTTGGGTATCCATTTTGTTAATAGATGTTGTATAGATGATCTGTTTCCTTTTTCTGCTGTTCGGGGTTGCTGCAATATGTTTGTGCTCATCTGAATAGAGTTATCAGTTTTTTGTTAGTTTATTGTACTAATTTTCTTTTGGTTGTGAGTGTATTTATGGACTTAGATGAAGATTTTTTTAGACAAGGGTTTATGCTCACAGTGCAAATACGCTTAAGACCCTTGCAAAAAGCTTACATGCTTTCTTGAAACTCACATTTCATTTTTTCTCTTGAGTAAACATGTATTGGCTTACATTCTTCCTTACTATATCACATTTCTAACTGGGCAAAGAGTAGTTGGATGAGAGCTTCTTGTATTTAAACTACTTAAGAACATGTTAAGTTACCTGTGTAGTGTTTGTAAGAGGAAGAGGGATAAGACTATTGCATTTTGTTTGTTTAAGAGCCCTCCATTGGTTTCGCTGGTTATTAATGAATTAAACGTTACTGGTTAAACTGGTTCAACCTTCCAGTGACATTTCCAGATTTTACAGACCCAGGTAGTACCTTACTGCCTAGGATTGTGTCAGAGTACGTATTTCCAGTATGCAGTTTTAGGCTCAATTGTTTGAAAAACTTAATGTTCTGCCCCAGCTACAGACCTCTAAGAACGCAGCACACACAAAGTCCGTACAAACCTTAGTTTACTAATTAAGGACTACTAATGAGCTTTCTTAGTAGTTGTTCGAACACAAGTACAGTTTAAATCAGTCTTTTTTGAACAAGGGCTGTTAATTTAACTTCATTAACAGCCAACAAGTATCCAAAGAATAATAACTCAATTCTGAGGCACAGTATTTCAGATAACCGTAATCTTACTGTGGTTGGCAGAATGCACAGAAGCAATTTGCAGGAAAACTGACGAGAGAGAAACAAGAGCCGAATCAAACGTTTCTGGAATCAAGACGCGAAGGAATATGAACGAAGTTGTTTCCTGCAAATTGCATCAGTCGTTGTCCTTCCTTAAATAGGCTAGTGGAGTGGCCAATTAGCCCCAAGCCTTACTCTTGAGGAGACCTCCTCCTGAGGAGCCACTCCTGCCTTTTAACAGCTCTACACGCTCGTGCATCGAGAAGAGGTTCCTCCTCTTCTTCCTCTTCACTTAAAGGAGCTTCTGGAGGTTCTGAAGGCCCTAGCTGAATCCCCGCCTCTGGCACCACATCTTCTCCAGCCTCCACATTGTCTGACTCGAGCGCCAGCTGCACAGGCTACTGGCGCAGCACCACATCAGCCTCCTCGTTGTCGGAATCAGCTACTAATTGCACAGGCCGCTGACGGGCCACAACACTTAAATGTTTTCTTTTCTCTCGCACACTTGCACATGTGTTTTCAATAATCTCATGCATCTTTTGATACAGAATGCAGCAAATGTAACCTCTTTTCCCATCTTTCAGGTCAACAGCAATAACATGGAATTTCCTCTTTGGATTTCCACATTCCTCTTGAATTCTGTTCAATTGTAGAATTCATTGTTGAATTTGAGTTGGGAATCCAATGACTTCAACTTTGAAAAAACCAGTCTGCTCAATAGTTCTGTGATCCAGCTGCCAGTAATTGCTTTGTGATCTAGTCACATTCCTTACAATTTAAATTTTCCTCAGATCCTTTATAATTCACTATTAGATGACCCGTGACCCGCAGAGTTGGCAAATTAATTTAGGAATGATAGTTAATAAGGTAGTGCAGAATGGATCTAATTTTTAAATCATGAGATATAGTATAGATCAGATGAAATCTCTTTAAGCATTTTTGATCAAAAATAAACGGAAAGAAGTTTACGGTTTTGGGAAAACTATATAGTACACAATATATAAAAATGTGTATCTAATGTATATTACATTTCATTCCTGCATTCCAGTAATCTCTCAACAATAGAGATTGCTCTTCAGTAGGATATCAAATAACAATTAATTAACCATAGGCGGAAGAGTTGCTTTATGCTCTTTCAAGAAACATTACATGCCAACATATTTCCTTTCTTTGGATCTATTCCCACTTATTTTCAGTTGGGTAAGTCTGCTAAGCTTTTCTCCTCCTTACATATGTCAAAATAACATGGAGTCTAGAGTCTACCTAGCACAGCATGGTTCTTCTAGATCGAAACTAAGATAGATTGATACCTGTTTGCATAAATATATACTAGGGAGCATGAGGTCATAACATGAGTCAGATCCCTTTCAGCTGAGGTGCAACTGTAATGCCCTTCACTGATCAGCCGACTCACTTGGCATGGGTGTCCCAGCTCCGTCTTGCTTAAGTAAGAAGGTGTGTCGAAAACAAGGAAAACTATTTTCAGGTAGTTAAGTGTCCATGCAAAAGTTATGTTGCCACCGTGTAGCCCAGGTGGTCATTAAAGTGGATGCCAGACTACAGGTAGTCCTTGACTTACAACCACCACTGAATCCAAAATTTCTCTTGCTGTGCAAGGCTGTTGTTAAGTGAGTTTTGCCCCATTTTATGACCTTTCTTGCCAGAGTTGTTAAATGAATCACTGCAGTTGTTAAGTCAGTAACAGGGGTATTAAGTGAATCTGACTTCCCCATTGACTTCGCTTGTCAAAAAGTTGCAATGATGATCACAGGACACAGCAATGATCATAAATACATGCCAGTTGCCAAGCATCCAAATGTTAATCATGGGGATGCTGCACAAGTGTGAAAAATGGTCATAAGTCACTTTTTCAGTGCCACTGTAACTTTGAATGGTCATTAAACCAATGGTTGTAAGTTGAGGACTGCCTGTATCACCAATATCCAAGCCTGGAAACAGGAAATCCGGACTGGGTAAAAAAGGCCACAATGGAGATGCTAGGGAATACTTGTTATCATAAACAAGCTCCAAAATGCTTGTTTGAGGTTTGTGTCATGCACAAAGAATCAAGACCACATGTTAAGTTCTAGTTAAGAAGATTTATTGCTCATGTTTATATGCACGAATCTATTCAACTAACAGCCAGCACTAAATTGACATTAGATGAGAGTCAATGGAATTCAAGGGATTTGGATCACTTGTGACAACGCAAGGACTCCAGACTGATTCCTCTCTTGATTTCCCCTTCAGACTCTGCCTCTTCTCTTACAATTTGTTTTTCAAAGCAGAGAATGGAGGGATTTGTTTCTTTTGGCAGAAATCTGCGGGAAGTTGATGAGTGCTCCTTATTCCTAGCTGGCCAGGAATGGGGAGATCTGACTGGCATTTAGTTCCTTTTGAGTGTTGCAGGCTTGCAAAAAAATAAAAGTACATTAACCTATTCCAATTGCATTCTTTGGATTAGTGATGCTTATCAAATGTCCTGTACTTAGTTGAAATGCACAGAATTTGTAATTTGTAAGCATATGGCATTCCCCCCCCCCCCCTTTTTTTTTCCTGTTGCAGTTGCTAGGGGCGTTTGTCTTAGCGGTGGGCATTTATGCAGAAGTTGAAAGACAGAAATATAAAACTCTTGAAAGTGCCTTCTTAGCTCCAGCGATCATCCTGATTCTCTTGGGCATCGTGATGTTCCTTGTGTCCTTCCTTGGAGTATTGGCTTCTCTGAGGGACAATATATCCCTTCTTCAAGCTGTAAGTACTTTTATTTAAGTAGAAGTCTATTTTCCTTAACCCTTCCAAAACTCTTTCATTTTCCTGTCTGTAAACAGTTTTAAGAAAACTTGTCTAATAACTTCCTTCAGAAATAGCAGAAAGAAATTTCAATAGGTCATTGTTGGCTCACGTCAGTCTGTCAATAAAGCAGTTTATATGATTCCTGATAGGAATCTGGGGGAAAAAAATGCTTTTAAAAAAGAGTTAAGTAGAAGTACAAAAGTAAGATTCATTTAAGAAAATTCAGGCCTTTAAAGGCCTTTATTCTTAATTAATATTTAACCCATATTTAATCAGCCTCCCTCCTGTGTGTCCTGCTTCTTTTCCGCCTGTCTTTTAATTCATATTGCTGTATTTTCATTGTTTATTTTATTGTTTCATTGTTTTGCTATTGTTATGTGTACATTTTTTTATAATTTTATGTTTTTGCTTTTGTAAGCTGCTCAGAGTAGCCCCACAGCGAGATGGGTGGCAAATAAATTTAATAAATAGATAAATATGCTTGCATAATGTAATGTTAAAAAACAAGTCAAGACCATTCAAAACACTGTATAGTCTAGACTCTAGATATACATCTTTCTTAGAAATTAAGCAAATCTGAGCAAGATTCTTTTATTCTTTCATGCAAGAGTCTTTTATTCTTTCATGCTAGAATGTTGTTCACTTCCTTAACAAAACTAATTATTTTGATGTAAATTATTTGTTTTCTTATTAATAATTTAAATTTAAATGAAATATGTTTGAATTTAATTATGTTATAGTGCCAATTAACTCTTTATGACCAGAACTATTATTAACATTTTGTTAGCGTAGTGGCTGAGATCAGAATTGGAATTGAACAAGTGTAATAGTAACCTTATTATCTAAATTGCATGATGATGATGATTTTAAAAATTCAGAAATCTCTTTTAATAAAGATATAATTTGAAATGGAAATTATAGGATGAGAATTTGTTGTTTCAGGCATAAGGAAAAACCTGATTAGTACTTATGAAACTTTTGACCTGTGGAGACAAATTTGTGGTGACTTTTGCAATCTTATACATACTGTAATCAGACACGTTTGTAATCATGTAGTACAAACTTGTGAAAGTCTGTTGTACATAATTAGACGCAGCCAATGTTTAAAAATTAAATTTGTAATAGTTTTGAGAATATGTAATTATGTCAAACATACTTAGCTTTTTTGAGACATTAGAGTTTAGAATCAGTAAAAAAAAATTGAGCAGAGAATTTGATGGAAAAGTTGAAGGAAACTGATGTTGTTCCTCATCTTCAGTTTCCATCAGCCTTAGTGTTTTACACATAAGAGTAATAAAATCTCTGAAAAGGAATTACGGTACATATCATCCTTATTTAAAAAATGTCAAATATTTTGCTCATTTATGTTTCCAACATATTGCTACTTCCTGTCGTTTATTTCTTGATAGAGGCTTTTCTCAATCTTTGTTGTTTTGCTGTTTATTTCCAAATACGTTTTACTTTGAATGAGTGACAGGAAAGGGCTGTTTTCTTTGGACTCCTTCAAAATACAATCATTTCATTGCCAGGACATTAAAAAAAAAAAAACCCCAAGGAAAACCCCATCTTTTCAGGAAATACAAGAACAGAATGTTCTGTGGTGGTTGCTTTTTAAAAAAAAAATATTCATCAGTCTGGTTTTGAGAGGACTATATTGTTGGTAAATTGAGATAAGGAGGACAAAGGGTTTGGGCTTGATAAATATAGTTTGTACTCTTTGTGTATATATTCAGAGCTGCTGTTCTTCTGCTGTTCAAGACAGGAAAACTGTCAGGACTTGCAAAAACTTTTTATAAATAAGAGGAGGGCCCTTAGAAGAAGCTGTTGAGAATTGCACACAAATAAGAGGAACAGCAGTGACATTTCCTTGCCAGCAAGAAAAGAAGGTAGTCTTTGACTTACGACCACAGTTGGGACCAGAACTTCTGTCACTAATTGCCATGGTTGTTCAGTGAGTCATCATGTGACCATACCTATTGCTGTTTTTCACACTTACAACCATTGCAGCATCACCAGTTGCAGTTTAATTTAACTCTTGCATTTGTTGAATTGCCCTGCGGCGAGTTGATCTGCAGTGAGTTGCCTGCGGCAAATTATCTCACTTTATTTGTTCCTATTTATTTGTTCCTATTTCTATACCGCCCTTCTCCAATAGGACTCAGGGCAGTGAACAGCCAAAGTAAAAAACAGTACATACAAAATTTAAAAGCAGTTTAAAATAATTAAATATTTTGGCCGTAAATTAAAACAACCCAATTTAAAATCAATTTAAAATTTAACTCAAGCCAGCCCAGCTAGTTGAAATAAATGGGTTTTCAGGGCCCGATGAAAAATCCGGAGGTCTGTTATTGTACGTATCTCTGGGGGGAGGTTGTTCCAGAGGGTGGGCGCCGCCACAGAGAAGGCTCTCCCCCTGCGAGTCGCCAGCCGACATTGTCTGGCGGACGGCACCCTGAGGAGGCCCACTCTGTGCGAGCGTACTGGCCGGTGGGAGGCTATTGGTGGCAGAAGGCGGTCTCGTAAGTACCCCGGCCCTAAGCCATGGAGCGCTTTAAAGGTGGTCACCAACACCTTGAAGCGCACCCAGAAAACCACCGGGAGCCAGTGCAGCTCGCGCAGGAGAGGTGTCACATGGGAGTGCCTCGTCGCCCCCATAATCCCCTGCGCGGCCGCGTTCTGGACCAGCTGGAGCCTCCGGGTGCACCCCAGGGGGAGCCCCATGTAGAGAGCTTTGCCTGGAGCAGCGTGTCTCTATATGAAATTAAGGAGATTGGGAAAAAGGTATTTTTTGGCGTATAAGACGCAGCTTTCCCCCCCCCAAAAGGGGGTGAAAATTTGGCTGCGTCTTATGTATGTAGCCCCACCCATCCACTGACCCACACCCTATGGCCTCTGCCTCCCAGCAATTTACCTCCTTGCAGCAAGCAGCCAGAAGAAACAGCCCATTTCAGCTTCAGCACAGCCTAATTAGCACAAGTTGATAGTCTGTTGGATTCGCCTCCCAACTCTCAGCTGTTTCAGGCTGCAGGGATTGCCATTGTCTATTGCTGCGTGGGCCTCTGCTGCTTGCTGCAAAGAGGTAAATTGCTGGGAGCAGATTTTTTTTTCTTGTGCTAATCAAGCTATGTTGAAAACGAAAATGAAAGTAAAGCAGGCTGTTTGCTGTTTGCTGCAACAAGGCAAAATTGCTCAGAGGCAGAGGGAGATTTCTTTTTCTTGTTTTCCTCACCAAAAAAGGTAGGTGCATCTTATAGTCCGGAGCATCTTATACTCCGAAAAATACAGTAACTTTTCTCCTGCTGCCTTCTCAACTGAGTAAATTAAATTCAAAATCTTTCCCAGAGCATGGCTAAGGCCTAGGGCTGTTGGCAAGGTTTGGTCAAAAAAGTCAAAATGGTGGCTGCAATGGTGCAATCAAAGCTCTACCTGACCCACACAAACACACATGATGAATATAGATACCAGGTAGAAACCAGGGCTGTCAAACTCAATTTCATTGAGGGCTGCATCAGGGTTGTCTTTGACCTTGGGGGGCCGGGGTGTGCGTGGCCGGGGTGGGCATGGCCAGCTCAACGTCACTCATGTCGGGAGCGCCTGTGATGGCCCGAGTTCTCTGCCAGTGAAAACGGACTCCCGAGCTCCATTTTCAGCTGCAATGGCCTCCTGCAACCCTCTGCCAGCGAAAACAGCGACCCTCCCAACCTCCGTTTTCACTGGCAGAGACACCACAGTCCTTTGCTATTTGCAGGGCGGCCCCGCAGGCCTTGAGTTTGACACCTCTGATGTAGCGCTGTAACCATACAGCCATATCTTTTTTTGACCATACCCTGCAGATATTCTTGGTGAGAACTCAAATACACTTGACTAAACTCATCTCCGATTGTTCTGAAAGTTATTCCTATTAAATATTGTAAAAGTAAACATTCATCATTTCAAAACGAAGGCTTTTGGATTGTACAAGTTTTATGTAAATTTTTTTTAATCCTTCTTTTGCAGTTCATGTACATTTTGGGCATTTGTTTGCTCATTGAACTAATTGGTGGAGTTACAGCCTTAATTTTCCGAAATAAGGTAAGAAAATGGTTTGCCAAATTAACCAGTTAAAGCCAGGTTAAAAGAGAGTCCGGATTCTGCATGACTAATATATTAACATTATTAATTAAATTGCATGTATGTATATTATTAACAAAAATATTGTGAGAAATGACTGCAGTGATGATCAATTTAGTTTAAATTAAATTTAAATTGTAATTAAAATTTAGTAATTAAAATGTACTTAATTTAAAAACTAAGTGTCTGAAGTAAGATGATATGTAGGGTAGATTATACTTGGCTCTGAGAAAGCACCTCATAAACTGAATTTTGACAACTTCTATTCTGCAAACCAAGCAATTATTTTTTTTTTTCATTTTGTACAATTTATTCTGCTATGTTTATTACTTTGCATTTGACGTTATCCCAGCCAGACTAGTTTTCATTAATTTTTCTGGCTTTCTGACATATTTTTAACTACCTTGATAACCATGAAGTCTAGAAAAATTAATTTCTTTGGAAGTTGGAGCCAGTATTTAATACAATATCCTGTGTGCCTTTGTGCCATAACAGAATGCAAGCATCTGTTTAAACTCATTCGGCATTATAGAATTAGCTTTTTCTCTTGCATAATCTTTAACTCTTTATAATATTCTCACTCTGGAAACTTTAAGCTTTGAAAATTATTCTTATATAATTGATAGTATTTTCATGTATTAAAATAATGATGGATCTGTTGCGTCAGTGAAATATTGATGATTGAGTATCATAAATGTGTCTTTTCTCTAATGTAGTTTTTAAAAGGCTGGCAACTTTCAAATTTAAAATTAACAACTGAAATCTCTGATAACAAGCCCAAAACTGAAATCAGCTTTATATATGCCACTAGGAAGCCTATTAAGATTTACATTGCTTTAAAAAGATTTAGGCAGGTAAACATCTGTATATTGCCCATGGTATTTTATTATACTTCAGGGGCTTTTCTGATGTAATATGTGTGCAATAATATAGAAACAATAGGGATCTATTGGGTATATTGTCATATTGTCATAAGGACATATTGTCATATTACCATGCCCCCTTCTCTGAAGCCCCCGCCCAGCAGCTAACTCACCACCAGCATTTATGCTTGGTAGGCCCTCCGCCTGCATTTCTCTCCTGGCAATAGTCCGCCAGCGCTCCTGCCCCGCCTCCTTCTCCTGGACGATTCACTGTGGGACGTTTGTCCCTGGGCAATTTGCTGTGCGGGACACTTAAATGCACCTCCCGGTGACCCTTTGAAGCAGCAAAGAGGGGCTGGAAGCAGGACAGCTCCCTCCCACTTAGCCTGACCCTCCTCTGTAGAACTGAGTAATTCCGAACTTCAGCCAGCAACTCCAGCCTCACTGCTGCCTACCACTTCCACTTGGTTCTGCGAGAGATGGAACTGGGTGCAAAGGGGGGAGGTTAGGGGGAGGGAACAAGAATCGGACTGATTACCCCTCCCTTCCTCCCAACACAAAGTCCTTCACACGGGAACAGACTCAGGTAGAAGATAGTTTGGCTGGAAATCCCTGGGAAACCTTTGCAGAATTCTGGGAGTTGAAGTTCACAGGTCATAAAGGGGCTACAGTTGCCCACCCTTGCTCTAGATAAACTAGCAGGATGGAAACTGGCTGCAAGACATGTAGCTGTAAATGAGAAATCATAAGGGAAGTAGGACACTTCCAGGTCTACCCCACAGATTAACTTCAGGATGCGTTATCACCAGTGGTGGGATTCAAGTAATTTAACAACCGGTTCTGTGCCCTAATGATTTATTCCAACAACCAGCTTGCCAAACTGCTCAGAAAGTTAACAACCGGTTCTCCCGAAGTGGTGCGAACTGGCTAAATCCCACCACTGGTTACCACTATTATTGAAAATTTTCACTTTGTAGCATATGATCCCATGAAACACAGTGAAATAGAGGAAAAACAGTGCAGTTGGAATACTTGGAAGAATTAAACCTGTCTAACAGAAGCAGATGAGTTATTTGTTTAGATGTTTATTTAGATCCTGAATATGAAATGAATAACAAAAATTATTGCATAATAATATCATCTGAAAGATCTCAAAGAAGCCATCATTTTGTAGGAGTTTCAGTTTGCTTGTTTATGCCTTTCAGTCAGTGTTGATTCCTGTGAATATGTGGATAGGCCCTTACAGGGTTTTTTGGCAAGGTTTTTTTCAGAAATGGTTTGCCATTACTTGCTTCCCAGGGCTGAGAGAGACTGACTGGTCCTAGGTCACTTGGCCTTGGCCTTGCGGCTAAGGCAGGACTAGAATTCCCAGCCTCCGTTTTTTTAGTCTGGTACCTTTAACTGCTTTACCAAACTAGCTCTTTGTCTAGTACGAATAATTCATGATTTTACTACAGTTTGGTCAAGCTGTGACATAAGAACAGTTTAATAAATAAACTTCTGCTAGAAACAGGGGTGGGTTCTACTTACCTTTACTACCGGTTCGCAATGGGGCTGCGCATGTGATCGCTCTGCTCACGTGTGCGCGCGCTCTTCTGCGCAAAAGCTTCTCCACATGCGCAGAAGTATTTTGATGATGTCAGGGTCAGTGGGCGGAGCCTCCTGTCGGTTTTACTACCGATTCTATAGAATCAATGTGAACCGGGGGCAACCCACCACTGGTTAGAAAAATAGAAACTTTACTACTTGTCATATAACACATTAAGCTCCTCTCCCTCAATATCTTTCATTTGTAGCTTCACTAATGAATTACATTAAAGTAGTTTCTAATTGATTCTGTATCAAGGCCAGGCAGCCTTTTGATTGTGCTGTTGTACAGTATTATTGTTTATTTGGTTGTCTACAGAGTGAGCAGGGGTGGGAAGGGGGTCAAAACAGTCATAATGGAAGCTGCAACCATGTGATCAAAGTCATCCTGCCCTTGTTGATGTTTGATCAAAAAAATTTGGTCACAGGGATTGACCATATGGTTATGACTACCATATTAACTTGGTGACACTCTTGGTAACTTGGGAGAGATCAGGAGGCCTTAGGAGAGGCACGTAAACAGAGGTGTTTGGGGAGGGCAAATGATGAAAACAAGGTTGTGCTGTTGCATTTTAAGCTGCACCCCTTTTATTTACTTATTTATTTATTTTATTAAATTTATATGCCGCCCTTCTCCCATAGGACTCAGGGCAGCGCACAGAATAAAAACATGTAACAATAAGAAATCCTAAAAACAGCCAATATAAAATCCCAAACAAAAAATCTTTTGTACCTGCATTGTGATATCATACATAGGAAAGGGATGGAGCTTGGATTATTATGATGAAAAAGTACAATTTTATAGATACCTCCAAGAAGCTCTGTTGTCAACTACTGTACTCAACTTTATATGAATGTATGCTGACTCGTTTTTTTTCCACTTCTTTTTCTTTTTAAAGACAATTGAGTTTTTAAATGAAAATATCGGAAGAGGAATTCAGAATTACTACGATGACTTGGACTTCAAAAACATTATGGATTTTGTTCAAAAGGAGGTTTGTTTTTCAATATCAACTCAATCGTGCCCAAACTGCTATATAGATTCATTAATATTCTAGCAGTTGACGATATTTTCTTCCCCTGCAGCGCCTTAAAAATTGCCAGAATTTCAGGAGAGACATGCTAGATTTTTGTGTTTCTTTAGGAGAGCTTGTGAAATATTGGCGATTGCACACAAAGTCTCAAAAATAATTTCAGTTTAAAAATATATTGTATGATGGTGTACGCAGTCAGAAAAATAAAATTCATTTCATAGTAATATATTTAAAAGCTTTTGTGGAAATCTGCCAGAACTGCAGGCCATTTCTGCTGCTTCCATGAGCAACTTCCATTGAACATAATAAAATTAATGGGTGACATCCATTGGATTACAAACAGAAGCCATCTATCAGCAGAAAGAAAAAGAAAAATTATTTTCTACAGTTCCTTCCAACCATGATAATCTCTATTAGTTTATGTTAGGCTTGACTCACATACACCATATTTCATCTCTGATGTATAACATCAGTTACAAAACTTGGGTGCTCGTGTGGCTTTCTTCATTGCAATATATACCGATAGTTTATATTTAACCATATACATAGCTTTCCCACTGATTTTGATAACTCTAGCCTCTAGCTATATAGAGAAAATTCTTCGTTAGCTTTTCTAGTGTCACTGCTCTAGAAATAGTGGATGGGTGGGGGGTCCTTTCTCAGATAGAGTAAGAAAAGGGATAACTGGAAATTTCCCTTCTCTGTTTCAATGCAATTCTGTAGTAATAATATATTAGATATTAATATGTCTCTAAGAGTGACACATTACCATAATAAACCTGTGACATTATGATAAAACTATGATAAAAGATTATCAAAGAATGGAGATTTATTTATTTAATCATTTGCACCACAGTATTACAATTTATACCATTTTTATTTATTTATTTATTTATTGATTTAATTTGTATACCGCCCTTCTCCCAGAAGGGACTCAGGGCGGTGAACAGCCAAAATTAAAACACATACAAATGCAAAAGTTAAGATAATTAAAAGAATTAAATCATTGGCTACCCAAATTTAAAACCCCAATTCCATAAAATTTAAAATCCCAATTAAAAACCATTTAGGCTAGGCCGGCTTGATGAAATAAAAACATCTTCAGGGCTTTACGGAAGGTCCGGAGGTCCGGGATCAATCGTATTCCAGGAGGCAGCTCATTCCACAGGGCGGGTGCCCCCACAGAGAAGGCTCGCCCCCTGGGGGCCGCCAGCCGACATTGCCTGACCGACGGCACCCCGAGGAGGCCCTCTCTGTGAGAGCGTATTGGCCGGTGGGAGGTTATCGGTAGCAGCAGGCGGTCTCGCAAATACCCTGGCCCTAAGCCATGGAGCGCTTTAAAGATGAGAACCAACACCTTAAAGCGCACCCGGAAGACCACCGGGAGCCAATGCAGCTCGCGCAGGAGAGGTGTTACGTGGGAGCGCCACATCGCTCCCATAATCACCCGCGCGGCCGCATTCTGCACCAGCTGGAGCCTCCGGGTGCTCCTCAGGGGGAGCCCCATGTAGAGAGCGTTACAGTAGTCCAGGCGTGACGTAACCAAGGCATGAGTGACTGTGCACAAGGAGTCCCGATCCAGAAAGGGGCGCAACTGGCGTATCAGGCGAACCTGATAAAAAGCCCCCCTGGCCACGGCCGTCATATGCTCTTCTAAAGACAGCCGTGTGTCCAGGAGGACGCCCAAGTTGCGAGCCCCCTCTGTGGGGGGTCAGTGACTCGCCCCCAATAGCCAGCGATGGCACCAGCTGGCTATACCGGGACGCCGGCATCCACAGCCACTCGGTCTTGGAAGGGTTGAGCCGAAGCCTGTTCCTCCCCATCCAGACCCGCACGGCCTCCAGACACTGGGACATCACTTCGAGGGCATCATTGGGGTGGTCTGGGGTGGAAATGTACAGCTGAGTGTCATCAGCGTACAGATGGCATCGCACCCCAAAACCACGGATGATCTCACCCAGCGGCTTCACATAAATGTTGAACAGGAGCGGCGAGAGGACCAACCCTTGCGGCACCCCGCAAGCAAGGCGCCTCGAGGTCGACCTCTGCCCCCCTGCCAACACAGACTGCGACTGATCAGAGAGATAGGAGGAGAACCACCGCAACACGGTGCCTCCCACCCCCAGTCCCTCCAGCCGGCGCAGCATGATACCATGGTCGATGGTATCAAAAGCCGCTGAGAGGTCTAACAGGACCAGAACAGAGGAACAACCCCTGTCCCGAGCCCTCCAGAGATCATCCACCAATGCGACCAATGCCGTCTCCGTGCTGTACCCAGGCCTGAAGCCGGACTGCCACGGATCTAGATAGACGGTTTCATCCAGGAACTGTGGGAGCTGTCGCGCAACCACACTCTCCACAACCTTCGCAACAAAGCGAAGGTTGGAGACCGGACGATAGTTTGCCAAAACGGCCGGGTCCAGAGAAGGCTTCTTGAGGAGGGGCCTCACCACCGCCTCTTTCAAGGCGGGAGGCAAGAAACCCTCTCTCAGAGAAGCATTTATGATCCTCTGGAGCCAGCCTCGTGTTACCTCCCGGGTGGCCAGTACCAGCCAGGAGGGGCACGGGTCCAATAAACATGTGGTTGCGTTTAATCTCCCCAGGATCCTGTCCATGTCCTCAGGAGTCACAGGGTCGAACTCATCCCAGGTAACATTCTCAAGACCAGCCTCAGTCACCCCGCCGGGATCTACCCAGTCAGAGTCCAAGCCTTCCCGAATCTGAGCGATTTTATCGTGCAGATACTGTGCAAAATCCTCAGCCTGCCCTTGCAAGGGGTCCTCCCGTGCTCCCTGATGTAGGAGGGAGCGGGTCACCCTAAACAAGGCGGCTGGGCGGTTATCTGCCGATGCAATAAGAGCGGAAAAGTGGTTACGCTTTGCCGCTTTTATCGCCACTAGATAGGTCTTAATATGAGACCTAACTAGTGTTCGGTCGGATTCGGAGCGACTCGCCCTCCAACCACTCTCTAGGAGTCTTTTCCGGCACTTCATCTCCCTCAGCTCCTCGGAAAACCAAGGGGCCGGGCAGGTTCGGCGTCGGGTCAGAGGCCGCAAAGGCACGACTCGGTCCAGAGCACCGGCGGCTGTCCTATCCCAGGCAGCCACCAGATCTTCAGCCGAGTCGTGTGCCAGAGTTTCAGGAACTGGCCCAAGCTCCCTCTGGAACCTATCAGGATCCATCAGGCGCCTGGGGCGGAACCACCTGGTCGGTTCCGCCTCCCTGCAGTGGGGTGCAGCGGTCGAAAGGTCCAGTCTCAGGAGAGAATGGTCCGACCATGACAGGGGTTCAATAACTATATCCCCTATATCCAGACCACTCCGCCACTGACCAGAGATAAAAACCAAGTCCAGAGTGTGTCCTCCCGCGTGAGTGAGGCCATGAATTAATTGTGTCAGGTCCATGGCTGTCATGGAAGCCATAAACTCCCGAGCCATCCCAGACGCCCCACCGGTAGATGGCAGGTTGAAATCCCCCATGACCAAAAGTCTGGGGGTATCAACCGCCACCCCGGCAATAACGTTGAGAAGCTCGGGCAGGGCCGCTGTCACGTGGCAGGGAGCCAGGTACGCGATCAGCAGGCCCACCTGCATCCCATGGCCCCACTTCACCAGGAGAGACTCACATCCGGCTATCTGAGGTACAGTGGCCTCCCTCGGATCAAGACCTTCCTTTATAACGACCGCCACCCCCCCACCGCTGCCCTGGGCCCTTGGCTGATGGAATGCGCAGAAACCTGGTGGGCACATCTCTACGAGGGGGACCCCCCCCTCTTGGCCCAACCAGGTCTCTGTAATACCTGCCAGGTCCGCACCCCCCTCCTGTATTAGCTCACAAATGAGGGGGGCCTTATTAACCACGGACCTGGCGTTGCACAACATCAGTCTAAGGCCTGGGCTCTGAGACTCTGGACAGCCGGGGAAACGAGAAGAGTCATGGGGGCCGAGGCATGCCACCGCTTGGAGATAGCGGGTGCGTGCCCCCACCACCTGATGTGGCCCCCTACTCCCGCCATATCTGCCCCTCCCAACCACGGTCCTGATAGAACTGCCCTCCACCCTATCCACACTGAGCTCCTCCACACCCCGCTCCCCGCCTTCCGTTCCATGCCCCTGTAACGGGCCTGACCTATGCCCCTCCCTCCCCACCCCCCGCCCTAAGCCCCTTAAAAGATTACAAAAAGACAATTTTAAAAAACCCCACAACCCCCTCTTTGCGGCATGCCACCTCTCGGGGTTCCAAAGCCCGTCATCGAGGTAGGCCCTCGATAGAGTGGAGGGCCAAGCCTGCGAGAGGGGGGAGTCTCGCAGACCAAAAAGCTCCGCTGCGGAATACATCTTGACCACAGAGGATGGGAGCAACCATATCCTAGGGGTCCATATAGAAGGTCCAGGGGAGAGACATGGAATGGGAGTCTCAAAAACATTTTCAACAGGACCGGTCCACTGTCCCCTCACAACAGAGGACGAAGTCAAGTTCCAGGTCGACCACAGTCCAAGGGGGGGAAGGGGGAAGACCCAACCACCCTCTCACGGAGGTCCGATCAACCATTCGACCCCCTCTTGTGGTGAGATGGCAGCGATGAACCAATGCAGACAGCACAGCATCCGGGGCTCAGGTCCAAAAACCGCCCTCTCACGGCGGTTGGTCCGATGGTCAGGTCCCCTCTGCTGGCAGATGCAAGAATTCAATATCATCCCAGTTCAGCCAGATTATAAACATATCTGATCTGAAATAAGCCCCACTGAATTTAATAGAATGAAAGCCTGGATGGAGCTGAATGTTTTGATCAGTAAGAAGTTTGTTGAAACCTGAAACTCTTTGTGAAGGAAATAGGTTATTAAAATTCTCATGAACTTGTGAATCCCCTATGATCATATAGATACATTGGAACACAAGCTGAATGGAATGAATGTGAGGTGTGGAGGAGCAGTGATATTTATATATTATATTTATATTATATTTATATTTATATTATATTATATTAATTATATTTATTATATTATATTAATTATATTTATTGTGTTATATTGTTTTAAACATAATTAAATTAAATTAAAGTACAATGACATCATTATTTGGAAGAAAAAATACATTGTATTTTACGATTATACTGCTTTCCAGCTCTCACATTTTTTCTGTATTTATGCATTCAAATATGCATTGGGATTTTCAAAAATCTTTTTAAAAATGTAACCATTTAATTTTTTACATTTCTTTATTTTTGACCTTAATACTGTTATTTTTAAAATTCAAACTAACTCACATTCTTTTTCTTTATGATTCAACAAATGTCTTCTTGCATACACAGATATAGGCAACACACATATAATATACTCTTTAATCACTAATCTTTGAAGTACACAGTAGTTTGGGATTTGACTGAAATCTAGTCAGATCAAATCTTAAGGCCTTATTCCCCTATAGAATCTTCTCCAAAACTGTTTTCTGAAGATTATTGCTTATCACATACTATATAACCACTGTTAATAGGTATTTTTTTTCCTTGACTGGATCGTGATTTTTAAATGAGGAATATTTACATTCTGCAATGATGCTAAGTATGCTACTTTATAATACCCTTTTCTCTTCAAGTTTAAGTGTTGTGGTGGAGAAGATTTTAAAGACTGGTCAAAAAATCAGTATCATGATTGTTCTGCTCCAGGACCATTAGCCTGTGGAGTCCCATACTCTTGTTGTGTCGCAAATAAGGTAAAAACAATGCATTATTCTCAATGAATTGGGAAGCTTTTTTTAGTTTTTGTCACATTGTGTAAAATCAATAGTTTCCCCCTAAAAGCTAAGCTTGTCAACAAAAAAGAATAATCTGTCTGTGGAAACATTCATAATAAAGGGTGCAGAGAAGAGCAACAAAGACAAAGGGTCTGGAGGCTAAATCATATGATGAACGATTGAAGGAACTAGGTATGTCTAGTCTAATAAGGAGGACTAAGGGAGATACGATAGCAGTCTTCAAGTACTTGAGGGACTGTCACAGATATGAGGGAGTTGACTTATTCTCCGAAGTACCTGTGGGCAGGTCAAGAAGTAATGGGTAGAAGATCAGAGCTAACCTAGAACTAAAGAGAAATTTCCTGACAGTGAGAACAATCAGTGGAACGGTTTACCTCTGGAAATTATGGGTACTCCATTACTGGAGGTTTTCAAGAAGATATTGGACCAGCCAATCTCTGAAATGGCATAAGGTCTCCTGCTTGAGCAGAAAGTTGGACCAGAACACTTTCAAGGTCCTTCCCAACCCTATTGTTCTATAGTCTATGTTCTATCCATCAGTTTGACGTGATTTGTACATGTTTCACAAATGTTGCCAAAAAAACCTGCATGTAATAGTTGCCAGAAATCTAGTTTGACTTGAAGAACTACAACATACAAAGATTGTATAAAATAAACCGAAAGGAAACATAATTCGTGGTTATATTAAGAGTATAGACTCTAAGTACAATTTCCCTAACAAGAATTTGAATAAATTGGATAAATCTAAAAACAAAACTTTTTACTAGACTACACATGGATAAATCTAAAAACAAATTAATACCAAATTGTTGGTATTAGGCTTTTCTACTGATAAAGAAAACTTTTGCCTTATTAAAAATATTTTTGAAGCAAGTGAAGAGCCAGACTTTTTTCCTTCTATCACATCATTGAGGCTTATTATACGATGTAACTCTTTTTGTGACAGTCACAAATCCACTATGAAATATGGCTTTTTAAAGGCCATACAATTCTAATAATAAATTCATATCTAGAATATGTATCATTACAGTTCATGAAAGGAAGTAAATCTAGGTTCAATAATGCTAAGTTTATAGTACCGTGTTTCCTCAAAAATAAGACCGGGTCTTATATTATTTTTTGTTCCAAAAGATGCATTAGGGCTTATTTTTTGGTTAAGTCATATTTTGGGGGAAATACGGTACTAATTGTGTCCATCTGGCTGATGATCTTAACTGGGGCTTATTTTGGGGGTAGAGCTTATGTTACAAGCATCTTGAAAAATCATACTAGGGTTTATTTTCCGGTTGGGTCTTATTTTCGGGAAAACAAGGTAATTTAGCTCTAGGCAATAGTTTTTGGAGGTAAACTATCTGTAAGACTCTGATACAATTATCAATAAGAAAAATGTATATAGTCTATTATCGGATAATACCAATACCAATGTGAGGGTAATACCCACTGCCTTTATGTATTTTTTTCAAATGCCTTCAGAAGGATAAAAATAGCAGTGTTTTTAGTTATAAAATTAAAACTGTAAACATCCAAAATAATACTCCTCAACATCTTTTCAAAGCTGTCTTGTGTTATACCCATTTATCTGAAAGATGCCACACCACCACTCTAAAAATAAATCAAGCCAAATAAATATTAACTGTTTGACATAGTTACCAAAAGTAGCTTGGCTTTTTCACTGGAAAAATACAAATGTGAGCAGCAGTTATTCATTTATTCTACGGTCATGGAAAAATATAATTAATAAGTGAGGTTGATGCCTTTATTTTTGGGCAAGCTTCATGGAATAGATAAGATCTGGATAATAGGTTTTGCCATTTCAGTGAAAATTTGTTGGGATAGTGTAAACGAAGGCTTTTCAAGCCCAGAAAATCTTGCCAGATCAAAAAAGCTGACTTTTTGCTATCTATAATAGTGTACTTATCAGGCCTAGGGAAGGATGTGGCATGAGTCAAGCCCATTTACAGAGGTGTCAAACTGGCAGTCCGCAGGCTGGATGCATCACACGCAGGCCACAATGATCCTGGATCCGCAAAGGCAAACATGTTGCGATACGTGATCGAGTTTGACACCTGTGCTCTAGCATAAGACATTTGATTTGCATCATTATCCAGGGACACGTATATTTGCCAACGTTCAACTAAGTACAGTAGGGCTATGAAATAGTTGACACAGGATAAAGCTGAGCGTGGCTTGACTCAGTCCAGATCCTTTCCCTCTGTAAATTTGTAAATTTATAGTGACTTGGACAAACACCTTTTTTGGTACAAGTATGATTACTTGGAAGATAGTACTTAGGGTTATTCAGGTACTAAGCAATTGAAATGGGTGGAAATTGTGTGTTTTTTTAAATTGATTCCCTTTAGGGGGTTAGCATTCAGAGTATAATCCCTGTAAATTTGTAACTTTCTTTGCTTAATTCAACTTGAATGCTCTTGTTCAAGACTTAAACATATGGGACAACAAATCTTGAATTTTCAGAGATATTCAAGGAAAGATCCTTGGCTTAATCCTTTCACCAGCTATTTACAAGAGAAATAGTGGTCTAATGAAACCAAGTTTATGAAGGAAAATAGTTGAATGGCCAAGTATGTACAGTAAATCAACGAACTGAAATATACATTCAAACAAGTATTATAGATGTCAAAGTCATGTATAGAAGCTTGAGCATTTAGATATTAATACATTTTATCCCATTTACAATGAATTGTAATAATTTGGATGCAGGGAGGTTCATTTGTGCTCCCAAATACTTCCTCTTGAGATACTATAAACCTAATAAAAATATCAAGAAAGCTAATCAAATTATTTAAAAAGATACTTAAAAACGTGGCAGAACTAGGTAGTGATTTTTCACCTTTTAGTGTTTTTCTTAGCTATTTGAACATTAACAGAAAATGTTTTTCATACAACAAGTGAATATTTTGTACTCAAACTGTAATATACACATAATGGGTTTTAATTTTTCTTGTTTCTTTAATTTTTACTTAAGGAAAAGTAAAAAAAAATGTGATTATGTTATAATTTTTATATCAAGTTCTAAAACAAACTAAATCTGTTCATGTTACATTGTAAGTAAATGTGTTTATATGTGTTTTTTCCCCAGACAACGGTCATTAATACCATGTGTGGATATAAAGTGATTAATGAAGAGGTAAGGAAGTGAAATATATATATATATATATATATATATATATATATATATATATATATATATATTTATGTAAGTTTTATATAAGTTTATGTAAATTATATATATAATTTACCATTTTATAGTCAAAGGCTGAGTGCTGAAGAATTGATGTTTTTCAATTGCGGTGTTGGAGAAGACTGTCAGAGAGTCCCATGGACTGCAAGGAAATCAAATGAGTCGATCCCAAAGGAAATCAATCCTAAAGGTTCTTTGAAAAGACAGATACTGAAGCTGAAGCTCAGATATTCTGGTCACCAAATTAAAAGAGAGAATTCATTGGAAAAGACCTTGATATTGAAAAGATAGAAGGCAAAAGGAGAAGGGGACAGCACAGGACGAGATGATTAAATGGTGTCACTGATGCAGAGAACATGGGTTTAGGCAAACTCAAGGAAACAGTGGAGAGCAGTGGGGCCTGGCATAGTCCATGGGGTTGCGAGAAATCAGACAGGACTTAGTGACTGAAGAACAAAATTTAGCACTTAACAATTTATTGTTTTAAGGAAGGCTAACTATGCATTTTTTCTCTATGCATTTTTTCTTTATGCATTTTTAGTAGCCTTCCACTACTTACTTTTGTCTTGTGCTCTTTATTTTGTTTTGGCAAAAACACCCACAAAAAGGACAGTACATAAACTCCAGTGTTCCTTGTGATTAAAAGCTTGATAAAAGTATTGGCTTCATGGAAACAGACACCAAGGAGAACAGGACAAAATGCAAGCCACATCCAGATTTTGAGAGGTAGACCAGGAGAAATCGCTGTAAATTCATCATTCTATTATTTGCAGTGTGGGATAGCATTTAGTTTCAATTGCCACGATATAAATAATATCAGTCAGAAAAGAGGAGTGAATTGCACATCCTTTCTCTTATCCATACTTCATGATTTAAATTAGGACCCTTAAATAAAACGCAGATACAATTTGAACTAATAAAAACATTATTCGTATCAAAACACATAAAACTTTTATCAGATAATGGCCTATGGATTTCTCTAGTCAGGTAGCCATGCATTTAATCTCTCATCAGTGACCATGGTATCTTCTATAAAGATTGGGAGTCAGAGGCATCGTGCTCCTTCTCAGTTCTTGTGGGTGGTGCTAGGAAAGTCAGCACAGTGGGTGCTCAGTTGTGGGGTGCCTCAAACTCAAGTCTCTCTCCCCACCCGCTGTTTAACTTCTACATGAAACCACTGAGAAAAATGGTCCATTAGTTTGGGGTGAAGCACCATCAGTATGATGTCACACAGACTTATAACTAGAGAGACGGTAGAAATCTTGATTTGTCTTCCATAATTTCTATAACATCCATATCAGTGGTGGGTTGCTCCCGGTTCTGTCCGGTTCTTGCGAACTGGTAGTAAAAGCGGCGGGAGGCTCCGCCCACCCGCGTGGACATCATAATGGATGATCTGCGCATGCGCAGAAGTGCGCACATGCATTCCCATTGCAAACCGTTAGTAATATAAAGCAATATAAAGCTGTCCAGGTGTGCCCGTTATCTCAAAGTGCCAGATTGAGGAATGCTTTTGAAGTATAAAAAAAATAAATTGGCCTGTGTGGAATTCCGTGGAGAGGAAGTTCTACAAGGAAGATGGTAATCAAAGCCACCGTTGTGACTTTGTTGTTTCCCCAGCACCTCAATCTAAATGATCAAATAGAATTTGGTCATGGGCACTCAGATATCTCAGCCATGCCAAGCCTTCTCCGGGAAATCTGCTTGACAAGAAGCTATTCTTGCCAGTTCACTCCAATAGTGGGTTGTCTGCATAAAACGTGCGAGAGCTGTAGGCAATTAAGAAAGTGAAAAGCCATTTTCTCTCCCTGCATTAACAAGCTTGTAATTCATTACTTTACAGCGCCTGAGTGTTCAACACGTCATATATATCAGAGGATGTATAAATGCTGTATTCATTTGGTTTACAGACAACTATGCCATCATGGCTGGGATTTTGCTGGGTATATTGCTTCCGCAGGTAACTCTTTTTATAAGATAGATGGAGCATTGCCCTCCCTCCCTCCTTTCCTTCCTTTCCTTCCTTCCTTCCTCCCTCCCTCCCTCCCACCCATCCACCATGTCTGGGTCTGGATCAGTGGTAAAATTCAATTTTTTTTACTACCGGTTCTGTCAGTGTGGCTTGGGTGTGGTGTGGCTTGGTGGACGTGGCTTGGTGGGTGTGGCAGGGGAAGGATACTGCAAAATCCCCATTCCCACCCCACTCCAGAGGAAGGATACTGCAAAATTCCCATTCCCTCTCCACTCCTGGAGGAAGGATACTGCAAAATCCCCATTCCCTCTCCACTCCTGGAGGAAGGATATTTCAAAATCCCCATTCCCATCCCATTCTGGGGCCAGCCAGAGGTGGTATTTCCCGGTTCTCCGAACTACTCAAAATTTCCGCTACTTGTTCTCCAGAAACTGTCAGAACCTGCTGAATTTCACCCCTGGTCTAGATTCCACCACCTCCTTTTGCCCAGGTTGCTGGTTGGGCAAGGAATCCTGAACCATAGATTGCAGCAGAGTCCTGCCTGGTCAGGAACCTCTCCTGATCATAGGAGAAAAAGCTAGAACTCACAACTCTTACTCAGCATCATTACTTCTTTGGGCTTTGTGTAATGTTCATGATGCAGTGTCAAAGTTGGGCAAAAATCATGGGTTCTTGCTGTCCTCTGAAGGGCTATTGGATCAGAGCCAATATTCAGGTAGTTCTGACAGGTTCTGACAGGTTCTGGAGAACTGGTAGCAGAAATTTTGAGTAGTTCAGAGAACCGGTAAATACCACTTCTGGTTGGCCCCACACCCATCTATTTGCTGCCTCCCGAGTCCCAGCTGATTGGCTGGGTCTTCTTTTGTTGCCCTGCACAGGAGAACGGAGCTGGAAAGCAGGTTAGTGGGGTGGGGAGGGAATGGGAATTTCACAGTATCCTTCCCCTGCCACGCCCACCAAGCCACACCACGCCCACCAAGCCACGCCCACAGAACCGGTAGTAAAAAAAAATTAAATACCACCACTGAATTGGAAAACAGATAGTCCGTGAACAATTTTGTTTGTTTGTTTGCTTGACAGTTTTTTGGAGTGATGATCACTTTGCTGTACATCACCCGAGTAGAAGACATAATTACTGAACACAAGTTGAATGAGTCCCTGCTTCAAGCAAGGAGGAGACAGAGGGGTGATGATGAGCCAGCTGGAGCTGGGTGCTGTATGTGTTTTCCTGAGTAACACCAGGTTGCCCTTTGACCGAGACTAACAGTTAATGTCCCCTTGCACTGTGCCTTGAATGTAAACTTGAATGTACTGTGATTTGTAAGTAATAGATGACAAACGTCCTGACACTTTCCAGACATCATTAACAGAAGATATCTCCAAGTGTTCCTTATTACAGCGGGATTTGTTCCTATGTTGGAATTTCTTTTCTTTTGTGACATCCCAAAAAACCCTAGCCAGTTTCCTGTTGTATGATAATCCAGGAGAGAAATAATAATTTATTCTAAGGTAATTATTATATGCAAACTGACTTTATACTTAATTGATCTACCTAACAGTATATATAGCAAGGTGAAATTATACTTTTTTCCCCCATTACTGCTAGAATATGGCTAGTCAGCCAGTGCAGGAAATGTTTCACAAATCCAGATTTGTATTGATTACCCACCATAAAATAATTCTGTGTCAGAAACAACACACACACTCTTCTTTTTTTATGGAAGGATAATATATCTGGCTCCTATGTATTATTAATTGGGTGAATTCTTGCTTTTCTAAAAACTCGGGCTTGCTGCAGTGTTGTTTTTAAAATGAACGTAATTTTCAAGCTCCTCGTGCAGATTACATAACCACCACTGCAAATCATAATACTGTAATTTTTCTGGGAATAATCTAATGTGAAGTCTTGTGTGGGAGTCTAGGTAAACACATTTAACTTTCCAATTGTTTCTGTGTTGATTCCTAGCCAATGAAGTATTTTAAGGAACTTGATTTTCATTCTTGTGCAATCAACTTTTTATGCTGCTTCTAACAGATAACTGGGAATTTTAGGGGCCTTTGCTGTGTCTTTTGTACGTTCCTGATCTAATCCACTGTGTGATCAGTTAACTAAAAGCTGCTTATTTTGATGCCAATTTTTAAAATTTGTTTTTAACTGTATGGAGTTTCATATATTTGATATCCTTAATTAATGTATTTGTCTTCTGTTTCTAAACAGAATTCAGGGGTGTACAGATGTGCCACTGAAAAATTATATTGTTTACATGAAAAATAAAAGTTATGGTTTTGTAAAATAAAAATATAATTTTTTCGCTTTGGAGTTGGGGAAACTGAGTGGGTTTCCTGACATAAAATGTTTCAGTTCTTTTTAAAGGCTATAATAGTTCTCCCTCTGCAAAAAGTTAGCCTAGAAATGTTGCATGCAATTGATTAATACCAATAAGACATACATTATTGCAACAGCATTCACTAGTCAACAGTTAGTTAATTAATGAGTAAATAGGTGGATAAAATGAGGACCCAAATTGTTGGGGGCAATATGCTGACTTTGTAAACCGCTTAGAAAGGGCTGTAAAGCACTGTGAAGCGGTATATAAGTCTAAGTGCTATTGCTATTGGCTAAAACATGAAAAAATATACTCTCAGCATGGATTTTTACATGTAGATATTGAAGATGAAATAACAGAATAAAAGAACTAATTTGCAATGAAATTGGCAGTCTTGGAGCTCAAATCAACAATGTAATTACCAACCCATCTACTAATATTCAAAGACATTTCAAAAGAACTAATGTTAACAATGAACTATTGTTCATTGAGCAAGCAAGACAAAAACAAATTCTACCACACAGATTTATCCAATGTAGTATATGCAGTTTTCCCACAAGCATTTTTAATACATTTCCTCTGACAGGTTTTTATGCAATTGTCCATAATAAAACCGTTTGAAATATACACTAATCATCTGTCCCAAGTATACATATTTTTATTCAAAAATGTTGGCGATGAGAAAAGTAAACATTTATGCATCTTATGAGTTTGCATTGGTACGGAACATTTTAGGTGACATTTGTGCAGAATTCAGGGGTGAAATCCAGCAGCTTCTGACAGGTTCTGGAGAACCGGTAGCAGAAATTTTGAGCAGTTCGGAGAACCAGCAAATACCACCCCTGGCTGACCCCAGAGTGGGGTGGGAATGGAGATTTTGCAATATCCTTCCCCCAGGAGTGGGGAGGGAATGGGGATTTTGCAGTATCCTTCCCTGGAGTGGGGTGGGAATGGAGATTTTGCAGTATCCTTCCCCTGCAACGCCCACCAAGCCACGCCCATCAAGCCACACCATGCCCACCAAGCCACGCCCACAGAACCAGTAGTAAAAAAATTTGGATTTCACCATTGGCAGGATTTCTTTCATATTCCAGAACAGCTTTGGGGGATGACTACCCTCCCCTTTCCTTTCCCCCCCCAAGAGCCCTCAAAATTTTGGAGATTTTTCCCATTTTTTTTTTAAGCCTGGGTATGCACCAGGACTTGGGTACAAACAAGTTCTTTTTCTTTTAAGAGATAGTTGTTTTTGATTACATTAAGGCTTCCAAGAGTCAGAGAAAATTGTCCCCTCCCACTCTCCATCATCCCCCAACACACATTTTCAATCTTTTTTTCTTCTGTAAGTTTCTCAAGTTGTGGCAATTCCCTTCTCTTGGTCCTTTACTGTAACCAAGTATATTAGTCTGAAAACCTAGCAATAATAAGACAGAAACTGGGAATGCAGTCATTTCACATTTTGTACTGCAGGTAGTTCATCCTTTCCTTACTCACTTCGTAGGGTCTACTTTATGATGTATGGAGGTTAACTCCTAAAACACTCAAGCCAGCATGCTAGCTAGGGAATTTTAGGAGTTGAAGTTCACACAACATAAAATTGTCATTGTTCTAGAGAATTCCAGGTAAATTGGGTGGTGTCTTCCAACACCCAGAAATGTTTAGAAACAAGAACTGGTATCTAATTCCTAACAAGTCAAAGCTCTTCAAACAGCCTGTTGTCATTTTGTTTTGGTCTCAAGAAGCCTTTGTCACTTTTTGAACACATCTTAGTTAAGATTGAGAAACAAGGGCATACATTATAGCTCCTAGAATATTTCACCACAAGAGTAACGAGTTAACTATGTAGTTTACAATTAAATTGATGGTACTGCAATTCTGAAAAGGGGGGGACTTGGGGCAAACGCTAAAAGTGAGTGACGCAGATGGAAATAAAATTCATTTTGAGCTCAGCAAATCTTTTCCCCTTCCCAATCCCTAGCAAACTGTGGAACCTTTTAATGCTGTATCTGTAGATCATTTAATTCAGGTTAGCCTCTCCAATATGGAATTGGCATTATCAAGCCAAGCAACAATGAAGAGGACTGAACTCTACACCAAGGATTAAACTCAGGGGTGAAATGCTCCCGGTTTGGACCGGCTCGGGCGAATAGGTAGCGATGATGGCCGGTGGTTTGGAGAACCGGTAGCAATGGCAGTTGGAGGCTCCACCCACCCGTTCACCCACCCCATTCCCTGGACTCGGGGAATGCACCATTCCCGGACTCCTACTGCTCACCTTTCTCCCGCGGCTGGCTGTCAGGGAAGGCAAGCGCCCGAAAGGTACCGGAGTCGCTCACTCTCCTTCTTGAATGAGCCACTCTGGTCCACGCGCCAGCTGTGCAAGCGCACATCCAACCTGCCGCTGAATTAAATAAAAGATGGGTGGGTGGAGCCACGGGAGAAAGAAATTTAAAAAGTTTTCCTACCGGGTTCTGTGGGCGTGGCTTGGTGGAAGGGGGTCTTGTGACTGAGTGGGCATGGCTATGAGTGACATTGAGTTGGCCACACCCACCCAGTCACAGGACACCCCCCCCACCAAGCCACGCCCACAGAACCAGTAGGGAAAAATTTTAGATTTCACCCCTGATTAAACTCCAACTGGGCTCATGATAAATCAGGCATGATATTGATCATAATTGGGGGGGAGAAATGATCCCAGTTCTAAAATTCAGAGTGGAAAATGTTCTAAAAATAAAAGCAAAGAGAATTCATGGCAGTTGTTTTATAAACATTCATAATACTATACAGAACAGAAATGTCTTCCAATCAAGCTGAAAGCAAGCATGGAACAGACACTGCAGATCTTGAGTCAAATCAAACAACATGCAAATGCATTTATCAGCAATTTGTCAAACCAGGAGTCCTATTGAACAGAGAAGGTGGTAATTTTTTTCTTGTAGTTTTAATAGCATTAGGGCTACTGGTAACAAAAATAACATTAAGAAATAGAATACCAGGAGTTAAACTAACAATTCAAGAACACACATGGAAATTATATGCCAATTATAGAGTATTCACAGTTACTCAGCTGGAGGACTGCCTAATACTGTTATTGGAATATATACATAAATATGGGTTTGTATCAGGTTATTAGATCAATGAAGATAAAACTCAAAATATGACATGGAATTTAACAAAGGGACAAAATTCTGCATCTGATAGAGGTTTAACATTATTGCAAAACAGATGAAATACTAAGTACCGTACTTCCTGGACAAAAATAATTTCTTAAAAATAAATCAGATATAGCTTATATGTTCAGAGGTGGAAAAAAATTAAACTGAACTCGGTTAGGAAGAATACAACCATCAAAATGAATAGACTTAACTTTCTTTTCCAAATGATCCCAATACATATTGAAAACAAGTTATAACGTGTTTGGCATAAACAGGAAAGGAACTACACATGGTTCCCAAAAAAACCAAGGATTAAATTCAAGATTTTACAGCATTCAAAAACTGAAGTAGTTTAGTGGCTCCAAACTTGAAATATGATACCAGCTGATTGACATAGATTATATATCCTTATGGTTAACTCTGGAGGATTCAAGATATCTCAGGATTGACACAAACAAACAATTTATAGGAGAGCATGCAATAACATATTGCATGACTTGAATAAATGTAGGAAAAGAATAAGTCTAGATTTTTTTTCCTTTCTTGCTTTCCTGATATTTTTTTTTTATCAAGAAGAGAACAAAGATATTCACTCAGTGGAAACAACTAATTTGACAAAATCCTATTTTGCAATCTAAACAAAGATTGTATCTCAGATTCTCATTTCACAACCATCTAATTTGCTGGTAGTGCTTTACCAGACATGTGGAAGCCATGTGACTCAGGTCCCCAAAATATAACCTCTCCCCCCATGTCTAAGTCTTCTGGAATGGACTGGGTTGGGTCTTGCCTACTTGCATGGGTTCCTCAGATGCAGGAATGGTCAGAAAGATCTTTTAGAAGCTTGAATTCTGGCCCTTTTTTGCTGTAGACGTCCATCTTGTAGACAGAGCTGCATTAATTCTCGAAGGGTTCCTGGACACTTAGAACCAATTCAACAAGACATTTTTTGGGACAGATTCTTCTGAAACGGGTCAGTCAAAGCTGCAACATTCCAGTCCAAATCTTGGTACAATAACTTGAAGGTGCTGATGGGCCACACCTTTGCTTCAATTCAAGAATGCGCTTGTTGGTACGCCAAGGTTATTCACAGGTTATAGATAAACTACAATTGCTGGCTAAAGTCATCAACCCTACCTACCAGAAGGTTCTGCTGCCACAACAAAAGGAGTAGCCCATTTAGCAGCTCTTAACTCTAGACAACAAATTGATTAGAATTCATTTGGGAGGTTTTTAGGCCATACGCTCAGTTGGAATTTGGACCCTGTCAGGTAAGTTGGCAAACGGTCCAGCAATTTATCAGATTTGTCTGGGTTGACCACCGAGTTTCTCCTGCGAGGAGGAGAAGGAATGTGATCTTCAGTATTTGGCTGGTTTAATAGCCCCTGCTGCCGAGTAGCAGATGGAGTCATTTGCTGGCTTGGCTGAACACGTTCACCTGTGAGTTGCTCCATTGTAGTTTCAAAAGTTTTTCCCACTCTTTCTCAGGCAGGAAAAGTGTGTTTGTCTGGAACAAGCAGTCCCGTTTCAGGTTTCCAACTCACATACAGTTGCTAGATCAGACCAGCAATTTACTCAAGGCCAAGTAGATAACAAGGAAAGGAACATAACATCAAAATCGAAACAGTCTCTGGAATAAAAGCTTGCCTGGGTAGTTTTTCAGAAGAGAAGCCAACATTCAATTTTGAGATTTGGAGCATCAAATCAGGTTTGTCAGCCAGTCCAATGGTCAGTTTCAGGATTTGCAAGTAGACTTCACAGGAACAACCCCAGAACAGGAGAACGGAGGGTTATTTCCAAGAGAAACAGGGATCAGGGCTACCTCTTAAATCAGACTGCAATCAGCTAACTTTAATTAAGATAGTTCCTCCCTTGCTTCAGAAGGAGCCTCATTGAGCTTCTGTATTCTGCTCCTCCTCTCTACCGTTATGATCCTGGGTCATAATGCAAACCAGCTTAACATTGAAAATGCCTTGCTGGATGGATATAAGTCTTTGCAGGGATACCATTGATTTTCAAAAAGAAGATAGGAAATAGGAAGGTTTTTTAAAAAAATCTTTCCACGTTATCCTACTGTGGATGTTAATTTACAAATTTGGCATTTTGGTCTTCAGTTCCTGAGTTTGTGTGTCAAATCCTTGGTGCCTGAAAAGGGTTTTCCATTTGTCCCCACATATTACCCTGTTTCCCCAAAAATAAGACCTCCCCGGATAATAAGCCCAAATGGACTTTTGAGCACACGCGCCTAAAATAAGTCCTCCCCGAAAATAAGCCCTTCCTGAAAATATTTAACCACATGTGCAGCCGGTCCCCGCCATTTCCTCTGGTTAGGATTAGGGAGACAGAGCTGGAAATCAGGTAAGATGGTAAGAGGAGCCCCGTCTTGCTCCACGCGCCCCAAAATAATAAGACCTCCTCGAAAATAAGGCCAAGCGCTTATTTTGGGGTTCAAAAAAATATAAGACAGGGACTTATTTTCGG